AAAAAAATTATTGTTAGGATGGGTGAAGGCTTTGTGGAGTTAGAGCCATTCGAACACGAACGCCATGCCTCTGGCTCCAGATTCAATCTGAAACTGGAGCTGCGAATCTGAAACTGGAGCTGTCTGGCTTCTCGTTATAGGTTCGTATATGGTATTGCCTTACATTATATTATTTACTAACAACACAAGTCCCCGGACTACAGATGATAAACAAATTTGTCTAAGTTTGGTTATATCCAATTTACATAAGTCACATGCCTTAAGGCTGCATTCCAGTTACGCGTTTTTCATACGTGCGTACATGCACGTAAAAGTTGAATTCGCTTTACATCCTACTTATGAAATAACTAAATTTATAAAAGGACAGCATTCAGTTTTGTGTATGATTTAATGTGTATTTGTTAAGGTTATTTGCAGAGACGGATTTTCATATTTTCGTTCGGAGGGGTGGATAAATATCTGGGGGTGCTGCTGCTTGCTTTGGTCGGGGCGTGGTGGCAACACCCGGAAAGGCCAATGAAAAAGTTTAACAAATTTGTTTTCTAGGCCTGCATGGTGAGATCTGAGACCATAATATTGGTAATTTTACAAATTTAGTAGTAACAATAATCAAATATGAAACTATCAAATCAAAATATATGTAATTTGCGGGGGTGCCAAATGGCTTTTGGGGGTGGGTGTGCAAATAATTTCTGGCGGGGGGGGAGGGGGGGTGCGCACCCCCCAGAAAATCTGTGCCTGGTTATTTGCACTTATATGAAATTTTAAGCGAATTCAACTTTTACTTGCGTGTACGCACATATGAAAAACGCGTAACTGGAATGCAGCCTTAAGTATCATTGTTCTAGTGTACTGAAGCATAGAGTAGAACAAAGATAACTAAGCTTTAGAATTATCTAGGTACATGAATGAATGACTTTTATAGTGTATAGGGCTTATCAAATGCTTAGTTACTTCTGTTCTATTCTATGTGTGAACTACTGTAGAACACTAACTAGGCATGAATATTTAAAGTTGTGAATTGCATAGCAACAATGTAACTAACTTTGTCAAATTTATCTATTATTGATATCATACAAATAACAAATTAATATGTTCTGTGTGTTTGAATTGTACAATACCTATTGTGAGATAACAGCTGTCCTGAGAGCTTATAAAATATCATTTGCCAGCAAGGCAAGAAGTTCTATTAAACCCTTGTCCCATTAAGCAGATTCTATTTACATCCAAATAAACAGCAACTTGCGAATATTATTGTTGCAATTTACGAAGTTCCAACTTTGTGAAAATTGTGAACTTTT